GCCACCACCCTTCTTCATACTTGGTTCTCACAAGTACGTGCAGAAGGGCAGCTAGGTGGCACAGTGGATAGAGCACTGGCCCTGAAGTCAGGAGGACCTGAGTTTAAATCCAGCCTCAGACACATAACACTAACTAGGTGTGTGACTCTAGGCAAGTCGCTTAACCCCAACTGCCTTAAAAAAAAAAAAAAGTACATACAGAGTCCAGGGGAAAGTTGATTCAAGTTTAGAGAACATGCTACAAAGGGGTAACTCATAACCCCTGGAAGTCATTTTGTTGGAGTCCTCAAAATGTTTCTCTTCGGTATGGTGTAGCTTTCTACTGGGCTCTGTTTAGAGTCCTGAAGCTGTTTGTCCTGGTTTGTTTAGTTTGAGTACAAATCCTTCAATCCTCCAAAGTTCACAAGATAGTCAAGGGTCAGGAGGGGAGGGAGAGGACCATAAGGATGACGGAAACAAGAAATTCAGGAGCTTGGCTGGAATTGTTTTCATTTCTAGCCTGCCAGAGGCTCAGGTGCTCTAAACTGGCTCTCTATTTTATACACGAACCACAGGATATAACAGAATTCCTTCAGCCAAAACAATTCCTCCTGTGTGTATGGCCATCACTTGACTTCTGCCAGTAGCTTTCAAGGACTTTTAAAACCTATGCCTTTCATTGATTGATTCAGTGGGGGGGGGGGGGTGTTTGCACCTTGTAAAGGCAGTTAAGTGGGTTGGGGTAATTGGAGTTCACTAGGCCTTGTTCACACTTTGTTCATCTCTCTGATTGTATGATTCAATAGAGAAGTCTGAGTGACCCTCATCCTTACATTTAAATGAGGAGTTTGGATTGGATGGCCTCTGAGATCCCATTGAAGTCTAAAATCTATGATTTTATGATTTATAATTGAAGGGCTATTCCAATTATGGTATATAAATATTAGGATATTATTGATTATTGAGGAACAAATAAAGCAAATAATTCAGAGAAAAATGGAAAAAAAAACTTTTATGAACTGATGCAGAATGAAGCAGAGCCAGTAGACCAAGATACCTAGTAACTAAAAATAATGTAAATAAAAAAAGACAAAGGGGCAGCTAGGTGGCAAAGTGGATAGAGCACCGGCCCTGGAACTCAGGAGGACCTGAGTTCAAATCTGGCCTCAGACACTTAACAGTTACTAGCTCTGTGACCTTGGGTAAGTCACTGAACCCCAATTGCCTCATCAAAAAAAAAAAGGACAAAAAGAAAACTGAATTCTGTGTAATTATAATGACTGATTATGTTCTCAAGAAGAGATTATTAAGACACTTTCAAGACAAAAGTAGGGAGAGTAATGATGATGCTACTGAGCTCACAATCCCCAGCTGAAGCACTGAGGTCAAGGCTGAGCTCCCCATCATAAGGAGATGCCCAAGATGAAATAAGAAATTTTCTTTTAAGAAGCCCTTTAAGTTCTTGGGGGGTAGGGTGGGGTAGGACTATAGGGGTGGAATGTTGCTTACACTGTGTCAATTGGTTTGCTTAACTGTTTTTGCTTAACTGTTTTTCTTTTTTACTAAGAAGAGCTCAACGGCTTGGTAGGGGAGGGCCATATTCCAAAATAACTGTGATTATTTCAGTTATATGTATAACAAAAGGCTATAATAAAAATTATTTTTAAAAACCAAATAAGGTATAAAGCAGGAGACATATACTATACTGGCCGCACGCCGACCTTCTGCCAGTCGTGCGCCAGTACCCACTTCTCTTAAAAGAAGTACACTACCAGAGTCTTACCCACACCTGGGTCTTCGGTTCTGAGCCGGATCACCACACAGAGACGAGCCACCGGGAGGCACCAACACCAGAGCTTTATTCAGAGGCCAACACAGCAAACCATCATAGCAAGCCCAAGCAGCAAGGCCAGAGCAACAGGGCAGGAGCCAGGGGAGCGCGCACGTGTGTGATCCGACCACGCTTGTTCCTAAGTACCTACCTAGCCCCTCCTCCCCAGCCCGCTACTAGCCAATGATTGTAGGGTCAGATACCGGAAGGGGCTGTCTGAGTTTAGCACACCAAGGGGAAGGGAGTGACGTAGGAGGCTAGGATTGGATACAGGAAGGAGGCATCTGGGATTGACGCATAGACAAGAGTACGTGACCTAGGAAGTCAGACTCAGGAGGGGACTGGGTCAGTGCTGCACAAAGGGACCAAGGAAGTCAGGAAAGTCACAAGAGGCATCTGGGGATGACGTTGCATATAGGGAGGGGACTAAGCAGAGGGAACCCAGTCTTTTGCCATCCCACTCCCACGTGGCACCGCCCCTTGCCTCAGGAGCTCAGGCCCCTACTACTTCCTTGTACCCAGCTTATGTCACAGAGCATTGCCCAATTGCCTCAGGGCTTCTCCGTATCCAGCCCATCCCAGTACACACGACTCTGCCTACCACAGTCCCTGCCTCGACTTCCAAAATACCCAGATCTTACCCTACCCTTGCCACAGTACCCAACCTGGTAGCTGCCAACATCAGACAGTCCCTCACAATATACTCACTAAATGTTTGCCATTTTCATGGAAGAAGACCAATACGGGGGTACTCCCTATAAATGTCATAGTCCCACTTTGCTAACTGCAAAACAAATCCTAGAGATGTTTCTCAATGAGATCCACAGCTCCTCAAGAGACACTGGCCTACTAATCCACATGGGGAAAAAAACGAGTGGATGAAGACTAAATCTTGCCCGTATTGTCACATGGAGTAACATCAGTATCCCACTGAGTCAATGGACTGAATCCAAACTTCACAGAACAAATCTGCTTAATAAAAGAATTTGTTCTGTAAAACCTGGATTCAGTCAAAGGACCACCCTTGAGGACCTAGAGTGCCACATGGCCTTGAGGCCACAGGTCCCACCCCTGGCTTGGTTATACCTCCATTACTTCCCCATATTGCCCTGTATCTGAACCTTCTCTTTTTTTTTTTCTTTTTTTTTGAGGCAATGGAGTGAAGTGACTTGCCCAGGGTCACAAAGCTAGTAAGCGTCAAGTGTCTGAGGCTAGATCTGAACACAGGTCTTCCTGAATCCAAGGCCGGTGCTCTATCCACTGTGCCATCTAACTGCCCCCTCTTTTTTTTAAACAAAGAAAAACAGTTAATCGGAAACAGTAACTAACTGCATTTGAAAAATGCCTAAAACATTCTGCTTCTACCTCTCTACTGACAGGAGGGAAATATATTCTCCAGAATCAATATTAGGAAAACCTATCTTTTTTCTTTTTTAACACCAATAGTCTCCCACTGATTGCTTATGAATCATGGAACACCACAGTTACAGAAGAATTAAAAATACTAATGACCAAAAGGACAATGGAGAGATACAGAGCAGGTGTAAAAGGGCAATGGTGATAATTTTATTTCTCTTCCCATTCTGTAATTCTTTGAGGACCAAATGGTGTAGGAGTAAGAATTAGATGAAGGGTAACTCTAGGGATAAAGTAGTGGGATATGGGTAGGCATATAGTGACTCATAGAATGTTAAAGCTAAAAGGGCGTGATGTAGGAGTGATGTAAAATGCTGGACCTGGAGACAGGAGGGACCTGGGTTGAAAGCAGATAACTGTAAAGGGCACAGAATAGGCGCTATTTAAATGCATATTCCCTTCCCCTCCTGCCTTTAACCATGAACACTGGCCAACTGCGTAACCTCCCAGGGCTTTAATTACCCCTTCTATAAAATGTAGATAATACATACAGAATCTACCTGACCAGGTGGTTTTTGAGGACCACAGGAGATAACATAGGAGGTCCAACCTCAGTTTAAGCTAAAGCTTGAAATTACACTAAGATTTTTTGGGACGCCCTGCATATGTGTAAGGGATGATGCTGATAATAGTAATAGATGATAATAGTTAACATTTATATAGTGGCACACGTTGCACGGGGCTAAGTGCCTTCCAGTTATCTCATTCCATCCTCAGGACAGCCCTGGGTTAGGGAGCAGAGCTGTGATTTTGTTTCTAGAGGGAAGACCTAGAAACTCCTAGGAAAACTCTTTACTAATGCTGGTCTGCACCTTCCCTGCAACTCAGTCTAGAAAGCTTTCTAAAAGCCTTAGTATATGTCACAAGTCAGACACAAACTCAGCTTTTCCTGGCTACTCAGTCACAGGCTATTATTAATAATAAATAAGTTATGATAAGACTAAACCATGAACCTATAATTAATTATTCACAAGATTAATGATAAATGTATTAATAAGATAATAATAATTACATGGCATGGAGTCAGGAAGCCTCATCTTCTTGAGTTCAAATCTGGCCTCAGACACTTACTAGCTGTGTGACCCCTGGGCAAGTCACTTAACCCTATGTGCCTCAGTTTCCTCATCTGTAAAATGATCTGGGGAAGGAAATGGCAAAGCACTCCTGTATTCTTGCCAGGAAAACCTCAAATGGGGTCACCAAGACTTGGCCACGACTGAAAACGAGTAAAAAAAATTTTCACGCCTTCATTTGTCCCCATGGGGATGCTCAGGGAGGGGAGGTGATCTGTTCCAAGTCGCAGTGCCAGGGCTGAGGTCGGGGGAGACTTAAGTCAGCACAGCCCGGCCCGGCAGCGGCGGCTCCCCAGGTGGCAAGGCTGGAGATCAGCAGGGTGGGCTTGAGTGCGCTTAATAAAGAGCGTTACAAACGCTGGGGTCAGGCCGCCCCGACCAGAGGAGCAGCAAGCCTTGTCCGACTACCTCGCCCGGCCCCGCCCTGGCAACCTCCAGCACCGCCACGCCACCACAGCGAGCAAGATAACCCGGGCTGTGACGTCACCTCACCCGGCCCCGCCCCCTCTGCTGCACGTGACAAAGCCCCAGTCGCTCTCAGCCGCGGCGCGGCTAGAGCTCCAGCTCAAGACCCCGCCTTCGCCTCCCGCCCCTTGCACTCTGGCTCTTGGATTGGGCGCTTCTGGCGCCTGTCAGCCTGGCCTCGCTGATTGGCTGAGGTGGGGCGGATTGGGGCGGGGCCAGTGCCGGGCCCAGTAGGAAGGGTGGGGACCCGGATGTCGGTGGTGGAGGCCGTAGCCCAGCGGCGGTGAGGGTCTGGCAGGCCCATGGAGGAGGAGGACGGGGCTGCTGGGGTAGGCGGGGACCAGGGGGCGGGCTGCCTGCGGGGCTGGTGGGCGGGTACTCGGCACCCCCGGCCCTGGACCGGGCCCCTGCGGTCTGGGCGAGGAAGAAGCTGCAGTTGGCGCTGGGGCCCCTGCCTGCTCAGAGAGTGAGGGAGCCCGGGCAGCTGCCCAGGCCCCCGGGCGGGGCCTCTGAGCCAGTGGCCAGGGCGCTGAAGCCCCGGGGCCGGAGGTGTGGGAGGGTGTATGTGGTGGGGGGAGTGTTCCATCTGCAGGGATCACAGTGCTGAAGTCCTGGGGGCCAGATGTGGGGGAGCCTCCATATGCGGGGGTCAGGGTGCCAAAGTCCTGGGGGCCAGATGTGGGGGAGCCTCCATGTGCAAGGGTCAGGGTGCTGAAGTCCTGGGGGCCAGATGTCCAGCTGAAGTCTTGGGGGCCCAGATGTGGGGGAGCCTCCATGGGCAGGGGTCAGGGTGCTGAAGTCCTGGGGGCCAGATGTGGGGCAGCCTCCATCTTTAAAGGGGTCAGGGTGCTGAAGTCCTGGGGTTCCAGATGTAGGAGAGGGGATGATTTAGGGAGCTTTTGAAGGGCCTAGGTGTTTGGATCTTGAAGTCCTGAGGGCCCCTATATAGAGGAGTGGGGAAATCAGGGACCCTCAGTCCTTAGGGCTGGAGTGTTTAAAACCTGATGTTCAGTGTGTTGCAGAGATGAAAGAGTGGGTGAGTTAGGTTCTCTTGGGCCAAGGTACTTGGATTCTTAGATACGTACCAGATATGGGGGAGGGAGGTCCTCAAAATGAAGATTGTTGTCACGACCAAGGTATTGGGACTCTGAAATTTTGGGATATACCGATTAGGTCAGTCAAAGATCTTTGTTCTCTAGGTCTGAGGTGCCTGCACCTTTAGGTCCTGGGTGATCAGAATAGGGGGATGTTCACTTTCCAAGGTTAGAGTATCTGGATTTTTGTTGCCCAGATGTGGGGGAGTGTGGATAAGTCAAAGGCTCCATTCATTAGGGCCAAGGTATCTCAACCATGTAGTCCTGGCTATCCAAATATCAGGCAAGTAAGTGAGTTAAGTTAGGGAACTTTGTTCTCCAGGCCTTCTCTGAACTGTGAAGGCCTTGATGCTCATATACTAGGGGAATGGGAAAGCTTAGGGCCCTCATTCTTTCAGGACTTGGTATCTAGGCCCTGCTATCCATATTTTGTGGATATATATGCTATCAGATCCTGAGTGTCCTGTTCCTGAGGACTGGTCAAACCTATGCCAAGGTGCCTTGGAAGTAAAGCTTTAGGAATGCCCTGGAGTACTCAGACCTTTGGCTGGTCTAGTATAGGATCATAGGATTTCAAGCTGGGAGGGATCTTACGGATCCTTTAGGAAGTCTGCCCCTTCATTTTACAGATGCAGGTGTTAGGGATTTCTGTGATCAGCACTGATCACACTTTTTAGTGGTTTGGGATATGAAGAACAAGGTGACTTCCCTTTTCTCCTTCTCTGACCGATAGAGAATGGGTTCATGTGGTTTGCTGTTAGTAGGGTGTGGGTGTTGTGGGACCCAGGGGGCACAGCTTGTTCCAGGAACCCTGTGTATCCAGGCAGTGGAATTGTGAAATTGAGTTGCTCCTATCTGCCAGCTTATGCCCACTCTCCCTTGGGTGGAGTGAGAGTCCTGACTGGATCAAGCCTTCTAAAGAGTACCTCATTGAGAAAGCAGATATCTAGTGTTCCTTTCACTGCCACTTCCCTGAGTCCCCTACTCCCTCTTGATTCTCTGTTACCCGCAACAGGCTGGCTCACTTGAACAAGATGGATGACCTCAACCTGCACTACCGGTTCTTGAATTGGCGGCGGCGAATCAGAGAGATCCGGGAGGTTCGGGCAGTCCGCTACCAGGAGAGATTCAAACACATTTTGGTAGAGGGAGACACATTGAGGTGGGTGTGAGCAAGGGCTTCCATACCCTCTTTCTTGCCTGGGTTTTTGGAATGGAAAGGAAACAGGAAATGTCTGCTTTCAGAGAGGTCCCTGAAGGATCAGTCTTTTTTTTTTTTTTTTTTTTTGCTTAGGCAGTTGGGGTTAAGTGACTTGCCCAGGGTCACACAGCTAGTAAGTGTCAAGTGTTTGGTCTGAGGCCAGATTTGAACTCAGGTCCTCCTGACTTCAGGGCCGGTGCTCCATCCACTGTGCCACCTAGCTGCCCCCAGGATCAGCCTTGTTGGGTGGGACTCCAGTATATCCTGCCCTTTGCCAGTGTTTCATGGTTACTCTGGAGACTGGGGCCCTGCCTGGTCTCAAAGGATAGGAAAGGGTCAATCCAGAATTAGGATGTTTCCTACATTGCAAAGTAGACTTTTCTTGTCACCCAGATACCTGGTAGCAGGCAAATCCCACCTAATCTTTGAGTCTCCCTCTGCCAATGTCTCAAGGGTTAGGGTGGATGAGGTTGTAACATTTTAGAGACGAGGGGTTTCCTGATTTGGACAATTGTGTGCGTACCCAGAAGACATTGTTGGGTAGAACTCAGAGGTATTCTGCCCCCTCCCCATGTCTTTCCTTTACCCTCTGCTCTTGTGTGTTTGTATATGCTTTCTCTCTCTTTCCCTGCTTGAGTCCCTTCCATGTCCCTTTTCCCAGCCCTAAGTTCTCTCCTAAAGTTGTCGCTGAAGGGGGAAGGAAATAGGGTTATTTAGCCTGGAGAAGAGAAGGCTGAGGAGAGGGGACTGAATAACCATCTTCAAATCAACGAAGGGCTTTGGTACAGAGGATAGAGACCAGCCGTTCTCCAGATCCACTGAGGACAGAGCCAGAGGAAAAGGGCTGAAGCTACAACATGAGGGATTGAGGTTAGACAGGGTTGTGAGATCCCAAATGGGCAACTAAGGGAGGCTTCAAATTCCGCTCCCCTGGAAACATGGAAGAAACCAGACCTCCTCTGATCTGGTCTGGGTTAGATCCTGAATGGAGGAAAGGGGAGGGGTGGGATGACCTTTAAAGTATCCTATAGTATACATCATGGTATATATGATCCAGGATTGTGGGGTTGATTTTTCAGTTCTTTCCCCTTTCTTTGTGCCTTCCCCTCCAGGGGTAGATGTGCTGAACTCTCCTTCCCCAGAGAGCTGGGTCAGGTAACTAATGGGTGTCCTCTTATTTTCCCTTCACAGTTACCATGGAAATTCTGGTGAAGTTGGCTGCTATGTGGCTCCCCGGCCCCTGACCAAGGACAGCAATTACTTTGAGGTGATGGAGACAGTGGGTAGGGGTTGGTTGACCTTCAATGGACTCCTTTTACCAAGTTCCAGGCCTGGTCCTACTAGGCTATTGTTTCAGGTCACAGGTTGTAGTCCCTAAATCTGAGAAGAAGGTGACCTGGGCTCTTGCCATTTTTTCTCTTTTGACCCTCTGCTTCTCTCCCCCTCAGCCAAGCATATCATATCTTGATCTCCCTATCCATCCGTCTTATTTTCCACCCATCTCCTGGCTCCCCTACATCTTGCCTCAGTATCTCTCCCTAGTTCCTTTCTTTTAATGGACCATATCTCTTCCTTGGCCCTTACAGCTTCCATTTCTCCTCACCGAAGCTCCTGTTGAGCCCCTAATGCTTTTACTCACCTCCTATCTAGTTCTTCTAACCCTTGGGTGTCCTTAGCACCTGCTGATTATATTCCTTTCCCCCTTAGGTATCAATTGTGGACAGTGGGGTGCGGGGCACCATTGCTGTTGGGCTGGTCCCTCAGTACTACAGCCTGGACCACCAGCCTGGCTGGCTGCCTGACTCAGTTGCCTACCATGCTGATGATGGCAAGTGAGTAGCTTGCTTGGGGAATCAGACCTCTTGGCTAGGAACAGGGGTAGTAGGAGATTTTGTGCAATGGGAAGTTGGCTGAGGCGGGTATATCACCATCCCTAGAACATTGTAGGATGAGACTTCCTTTCTCGTGGATACTAAGAGAGATCACTAAAAGGGGGAAGAGAGGAGATAGGATTTCTTCCCAGTGGGGACTGCCGACATGAAGAGAAAGACAGGACCCTGAAGGTTACCAGGATGACTATGGGAACTAGCAGCTGCTAGATCCAGCAGTGCTGTGGCGTGGGCAGAACTTAGGGATAATGGGCATAGGGTGAGTCTGGGAAGGGCCCCTTGCTCCGTGACTCAGCTCTTGCCTTTCTGTTTATTTATCCATCTGTCTATAGGCTGTATAGTGGCCGAGCCAAGGGCCGCCAGTTTGGGACGAAATGTAGCTCTGGGGACCGGATTGGCTGTGGCATCGAGCCCGTCTCTTTTGATGTGCAGACAGCTCAGATCTTCTTTACTAAGAATGGGAAGCGGGTGAGTGGGGGTCAGTGTCCCTGTGGGGGGAGCTAGCCAGGGCTTGTAGGCTACGCAAGGTGGTATGGACCATAGGTAGAGCCAAGAGTCAGCCTTTACCAGTGACCTACAGAACAGCTTTGAGGGAATTGTTTGGCCCTTCAGCTGGTTACCTCATCAGTCCCATATCTGCACCCTGTCCTGAGCTTTGGGGTGAAATCAAAATAGAGGAGAAGGTGCAGCCTTGGCCATCAAAAAGCTCCCAGTATGCTGAACGGCGCCCAGAGCACTGGCCAAAGCTGGGTGGACGGAGCATTCATGTTTGGGGATGGTGAGAAATAGAGGCTCCCGAGGTCAGGGAGGGTGTCCCCGAGGTGGGAGGGAGCAGAGCGTGGAGTGAAGAGTTGTGCTGTGGCCACAAAAGGGATACAAGGTACTCTTCTCGAACTTCTAGACTTGAAATCCCTTTGTGGTTTCTATCCTCCCTTTCCATGTGTTTTGTCTTTCTATGACATTTTGTCTTATTTTTCTTTCCCTCACTTCACGCTTTTCCTCCCTTTAGTCCTGCCTTCAGAGAAAGGCTGATAGGGAGTGGTTGGGACAGACAGATTGAGCTCTCAATCTCTAGAGCTTTCTTTCCCGAAGTCTTGGACTGCTTCGTGGCCTCCAGGCCCTCTTCTTCCCATTGAAGGCTCAGATGCTGAGTCTGGGTTTCAGTCCCAGTTTACAGGTGGCCATCTGTGTCATTAACTTTGGGCAAGACATTCAGCCTTTTTGTGCCTCATCTGTAAAATGCAGATGATGTGTTTCCAACCCATCTTGTAGGGGTGCTGAGATGTGTGTGGAGATGTAGTTTGAGATGTCAAGGGAGTGGTGTTTGATTTGATGTCAGTTGAATGGCGACTGATGTTTACCATGTGACCTCTGTCAGCCTCTGTCCTCATTAGTGAATTGAGCATATCACTTCCCTACCTATTTCACATGGTTATTGCGAGGAAAATGTTTTGTAACCTTTAAGCACTATGAAAATGTGACTTATTAATATTACCTACAAAAGCAAGGCAGTATTTCCTGTTTCTTAAACTTTGTGGGCCCAATCTCATCTCTTGCAGGTGGGCTCTACCATTATGCCTGTGTCCCCAGATGGGCTCTTCCCTGCAGTGGGTATGCATTCCCTGGGCGAAGAAGTACGGTTACACCTGAATGCTGAGCTGGGCAGCGAGGAGGATGACAGTGTGATGATGGTGGACAGCTATGAGGATGAGTGGGGACGATTGCATGATGTCAAAGTATGTGGGACGGTGAGTTGGGGACTGCCCGTGGGGATAGGGTGTGGAGCATTGGAGTTGGCAAGATGGCAAGACTTAAGGTGGTAGTGAGACCACCACAGTTTTGTTGCCCAGTTGTGTCTTTTATACCCCTCTCTGTTAAGTCCTTCTTTGTGTCAGCTCTAGTCCTTCTTGTATGTCAGGTAGATGTGAACAAATGTCCCTAGCCTGAAAGATCAAGGAAGATCTCTCTACTTGGTGTATTGGCAAAAGAACTTGGGATCTTTGGATGAAAGGGGACAAGGTGCGATGCCCTAAGCTGAATTCTCTGTCTCCTCCTGAAAACATATGCTGCTTAACTTGGGAGCGGGGTGATTATAGTAACTTGATTTAATTCTTTGGCCTGTGAAATCAGCACCATTTCTTTTTGTGTGTCTTCCTTGGTGCCTTCAGCATCAGGTTACCCAAGTCCCCAATATCCTGTCTGTGCTTAGAGGAGCATTTTTTTTTTTTGCATGGGAAGTAGGAGTCTTATTTGGAGGCAGAATATCTGGATCCCGTTTTGTTTAGTGCTTTAACACTGCTGATTTTGGCTCTCCGTATTTACTTCTGTGAGATTTTTCTAATCACCATTCCTTTAGACACAAAAATTCAGAGTGCTTTAAGATAATTTTGCATGGTTTGTATACCATTCTTCTTCCTCCAGGCAGACAGAATTATTTCAGCTACTCTCTGTAATTCAGACCACCCTATTAAACACATGGACTCTTAGAAATCAGTAAATTTTTTCATCCTATCTAGCTGTAGTCCTTTTTGCAATAATGAGAGTAAAGGGATTGAGTCCAGTGTTCCAGGTCCTAGAGTGGCTGCTCAGGACTCCCATGGTGGCTTGTCCACTCCCTGACCCTAGTGACCTTCCACACACTCTAGTCCCACCAGAAACCCTCTCAGAAACCACGATGTTCTCAGGATAATGTTCTGTGATTGAAATCACAATAGTAGCAAAGTGGGATATAAGAAAGGAGTTCTAGTTGAGTTGGGCATAGGACAGATGAGGAGAGAGGATGCCCTTGCTGCAGTGGGAATGGTGCTACCCATCCAGTGTTGGGGTTTGAGGGCTAGAGGTTCTGGGCTGTCTTCTAAGGTACCCACTCCTTTGACCCTCATCTTTTTCCTTTCTTTCCTTCCGCTGCCACCATCATTTTGACAACATCTGCAAAACTGAACTTGGTACAAAGCCAAGGAGATATTCTAGTTTTCAAGTTTGCATCTCTGACCTTTCCTTAAGGAGTTTTGTCTTGGCATCCTCTCGCTGCCCTCTCCTGCCTGGACCTGTCCTTGCTCCCCTCCCAAAGCACTCCAGCTCCTCCCAACCAATCCTTTCTAATTGATGGAAGATCCTGTCCATGTTTATAAATAGCCTTCCCTCTGTGTCCTGCCTCCACCTCCTCTCCTTCCCCCTTGTTCCCCTCCTCAACACCCCTGCAGGCTCAGGAACGCTTTTCTTCTGTTTCAGGCTGTTGAGTTTGGCTCTCCTCTCTTATTCCCACCCCTTCTTTGGGAACAGCAGTGCAGGAATCCTATTCCTGAGTAATTTTTTCTCTCTGGCAGTCACAGATGCCTAAGGCATCCCTCCCCAGTGCCTTGGGCCACTATAGTCTTCTCAACTGTCTTGTCTCTTGAATTGAGAAGACTTCACTGCCCTTTTTAATTTTCTCCCTAGTCCCCAATATGATCATTTTCTTTCCTTTTAACTTCTACCACACCTAACTCTAAAGAGTTGTTAGTCCGTAAGGGCTTGTGAGAAGTTGTCTTGGCCATATTCTTGCCTCCTGTTTCTGAGGCCTTCAGAAAAGAAAACACCATTGTTAGTTTGCCTTCCCCTGTCCTTTGTAACCTTAGCTCTAGAAGAAAGTCTCTTTGAGGCCTCCTTACCACTTGCTCTTGGTAGAGATAGACAATAAACAGCACCTTTCCTCTATCAAATATCCTTAGAGCAAAGGTTCTTAACTGAGATCCATGGACCCCCAATGGGTGCATGGAGACAGTTCAGGGAGTCCTTGAACTTGTTTTTAAAAATATTTTTAAAGTTACTTCAGTGTAATTGGTTTCCTTTGTAATGCTGCGTATTTTATGCCTTTAAAAACATGATTCTGTGAAGTGGTCCAGCCCATGGAAGAGAAACCCCTATGATTGAAATCACGGAATAGGAAGGGGGCTTGGAGCGTGGGAGAAAGTGGGACTTGGTGAGAGCTTCATAAAGAGCCAGGAAGAGCGTTCAGCCCCCGATTCTCCTGTCAGACTTGGAACTCTTGATTTTGGTCCCTGCAGTGTGAACGTTTCAGTTCCACAGGCATTGTGCGTCTAGAGCGCTGCTGCATTGTTGCTAGTCTCAGGTTTCTGCTCAGCCTTTTTTTTCTCTTCCTTGTAAGATAAAGCCTGAGTCCTTGAGCTTTGCCCTCCTTTCTTCCAGCCCCTGCCCGGCTCTTTCTAGCAGTTGAGTTTACCTGAGTCCTCTGCATTCTCTCTTCCCTCCAGTTCATTTTGGGGGCTCCTCCCAAAAGAATCTGAAACATTCCTCCCTCTCTTTTGCCCTGCCCATTGTTCTTTTAATAATCCTTCAATTGATGGGTACCCACTTTGTTTCCAATTCTTTGCTCCCACAATGAGTGTTGCTGTGAATATTTTGGCATATAGTGATCATTCCTTTCTATCTTGGAGAAATAGCGAGTCTGCTGGGTCAAAGGGAATGGTTGGATGGTTTAGTTTCTTTTCTTGCCTAATTCTAAATTGCAATCTGGAAGAGTTCCATGAACAGAATATATTAGTGCGTATATTAGTCCTTTAGCCCTTCCAACATTGACTTCCAGTTTTTGTCTTCTTTGCCAGATTGTGTGGTGAGAGCTGAAACCTTGGAGTTGGTTTAAATTGCATTTCTCTAACTGTTTATGATTTGACCCATGTCTTCATCTGGTCCTGTGCAGGGTGAATTCTTTTGAAAGCTGTTTGTTCATGTCTTTTGCTTAGTCAGTGATTCGTGCTCCCTGAGGTGGGTTTCAGTTTTCCCTCCTACAAAACCATGGCCCTAAGCTCTAACTTTGTCTGAGAATTGCTGTTTTAAGTGGTAAGGAAAGCAGACACACCTGCCTTCTTCTTGCCTCCAGGCCCAGTGCAGTGAGGTAATGCATGGGGAGGGGAGGGCAACTCTGGGGGATTAGGCTCATTTCATTCTTTCTTCCTGTTTGAAGCTCCTTTTGGCAACTCCTTAGCGACAGGGCAACAGCTTCCATAGACAAAGTGGGGTGAGCACTGGCCCCACCCTGGGGTTATGGGGTGTGGGGAAGGGTCCTCCCTGGAGACCCAACCCAGGAGGAAACCATGTTGAAGCCTGACCTGTGTAGTGGAAAGCATGTTCGTGGTTTCTGTGCAGCTGTTTGTGACGCCCCTAGGGCACTGAGCCTTTATTTGCTCCTGTCTTGGGGGATTAGGGTCTGGCCTGGCAAGTGAAGAAGGCAGGTGCCAGTAAGGAAAAGGAAACCGGGAAGGTGGTGATGGATCAGGAGGGGGCAGGGCAGGAAAGGAAGCAGGGTTCAGAAGGTTCTTCACAGCTCTGCTGCCGGTTTGCTCTGTAGCATCAGGCCCATTGCTTAACCTTTCTGGGCCTCAGGGGCTTTCTTAGAAAAGGATTACTCAACAGGTCCCCAAACCTCCTGCAGGGGAGGCCTTAGTGGTATAGAAACGAAAGGGGAGGATTTTTTTTTGTGGCTTACTGGGACTGAGCAAACAAGCTTTCTGGACAGCAGGATGAATTTGGGGTTATGCAGAATAGCTAGCAATCAGTGGTTGGGGAGCCACGTAGGTGGGAGATGATGGTGGACAGGAGTGAGATCCACTCTGAGCAGCTTTAGCGGACATACAGGGTAGGGATGCTCCTGGGGGATGGACATCTCTAATTCTGGGCGTTATATTGCAGGGACTGCTGAGACAGCCCCCTTGAAGGAAAATGCAGTTGTGTGGGTTGGTTTTGCTGAATTGTATTTTTTCCTCTTTATTCTTTGTTATAAGGGATAGTTTTTTGGGAAAAGCAGAGTGGAAAGTGGAGATGATATAAAAACAAAATTAAATCAGTGAAATCTAAATAAAGTGTTAGCACCCGTCTTAACACATTATAGATACTAGCAGCTCAGTGATTGTTGGACTGAATTCAGTTCAGCTCAACAAAGTACAACACTGAAGTCCTTGAAGAATCAGACCAGGGGCACCCAGAGGCAGTGGAGATATGCCTGGTAGGCAGAGCATCGACCCTCAAACATTTACTAAGCACCAGTTGATCCCTGCCCTCAAAGAGCCTACATCCTTCTGGGGCTTGGGGGACATGTACCATGAAACATTGATGCATGTAAATGTAAATGCTTACATTGTAAATACAAGGTGTGACTTTAGTAAGGAGATCAGGAAAGGTCTCCTGGAGGAGGTGTCCTGTGATCTGAGCCTCGAAGGAAGCTCCACATTCCAGGAGGCCAGAGGCTGAGGAGGGCATGCTTCTCAGGCCTGGCAGATGGCCTGGGCAAAGGCACTCAAGTACTGTGGATGAGAATCATGGTGGACAGTTTGACTGCAGCTTAGCATATGTGAAGAGGAGCACTGTGTAATGCATTACCGATGGGGTGTTCAGCAGATGAGCTTTGCATGTGTTTTATCCCAGGGTTATGACAGAGTCATGGGGCTTATTGAGCAAGGAAATGACATGATAAAACCAGTGGATTAGGAAAATTACTTTTGCAGCTGTGTGTCTTTAGAGAGGGGAGAGTCTTGAGGTGAAGAGACCTTTAGGAGGCTCTTGGGTCCAGCGGAGAAGTGGGAGGGGCCTGAGCTAGAGTGGAGGCTGTGCCCAAGGATCACCAGAGGGGATGCGCACACTGGGCAGAAAGGGCAATAGGGAGACTCCACCTGGAAGAGGAGGTAGGTTAGCTGTGTAGCAGAAGAGAAGGGTAACTAATGAATGAAAAAGCATTTCTTAAGTGATTCCTCTATCCCAGCTTCTGGGGATACAGATACAAAATCAAAATGATCCCTGTCCTCCAGGAGTTTTCATTTTAATAGGGGAGTGGTGGCCAGGCAGAAGAGTGTTTTGGTCTAGGTATCAGAGGGATGGTGTGTGAAGACACAGGGGAATTGAGTGATGCGCTCTCTCCAGAAGCAATGGTGTGTGATTATAGACGAAAAGGGCAGGGGGAGGAGGCCATCCCATTTGCGCAGACTTCTGGCACTGCCCCAGGCTGGGAGTTCCAGCAGCAGTGGCTGGCAGGTGATGGCCGAGGCCACAGAGCATATGGGCAGCTCAAATCCTACACTCCTTACCACACATTAGTAAGCCAAAGGAAGGACTGCAGGCGGGTCACTAACTCTTCCGTGGAGTATGTTATCCAAGAAGTAACTTGGACAAAAATCATATAGGATGACAAGAGACGGGTGGGTCACGGTGAAACTGGTGAAGTGAGTGTCAAATTAAATTGAAGCCTTTCATTGTCTCTGGGCAGCCATAAAGGCAGAAGGGATCCAGTGAGAGAGGAGAGAGACAGTAGGTTACAGTCTTCTGTGTGTGTCTAGCCTCCAAGAAAGTAGGAACAGTATTTCAGTGTCTAGCACTCTGTAAGTAGCTTCTGTCTCCTCTCAGTTTCTAGGTATTATTGCATAGGGCAGGGGAAAAGGTATAATCAAAAAGGAATCCTAGTCTGTCCATCCCTACCACCACAGTGGTGCTCCTTCTGAAGAAGATGCAGGGATTAGAACAGAGACTGAGGCTTTCTTATGTCTCCATTCCTAACCTTCCCCTCCCCACACACAGAGGCATACTTTTTCCTCATCCATCTGAACTGGTTGAAGGGAGATAGATTTTAGGGTGCCATAAGGACTTAGGAAGAAGTTGGTGGTTCTTGGGATAGGGGAAAATTGAAGGTACAGGACAAAGAGTTGCACAGTGGAAGGGATGACTATTTAGGTTTTATAGCACTTGGGAGGGATTTGTGGTTTAGCATTTATAGAATACTCATTTCTCCTATATTACTACATTCCAGATCCATCTAGAGACCTTTTGATTTCCCCCATTTCCTGGCTTATGGGATTTCCTTAGCTCTTCTAGTTCATAAAGCCTCATGTTTCTTGGACAAAGCTACAACAGCTGCCCTCCCTAGGGCTGGGGCAGAGGGAATTTTGAGGCGTGTTTTTCTCAGGGATCAGGGTCTGAACTAGATGTCTCTTGGCCCTGGGACTGGGGAACGTTGTGTTTCTCACATTAGGGCCAGTTGGATGGTGTGAGTTAAGGGCAGCTGTGGAGTCCCCCACTCTGTGCTACAACATTGAGAGGAAATGGTAGGCTCTGGGCTACTCCTGAATGAAATGAAAATGAGATGAAAATAGTCACTCTCAGTACTGCCTTTCCTCCTCTTCTCCTGCCCCCTTTGCCTGCTGGCCCCTCAGACCCAGAGGATGGGGGTGCTGAGCCTAGTCTGATGGGAAAGAAGAGGCCCTACATGAGACAGAGACAGAAAGAAGGACAGATGAATACAACACGGGCCATTTGTCCTGAGGAGGCAGAATAAAGAAATGATTTGAGCTAGAGGAAGACCCCCAGAGTAGAGGAGAGTAGAGCCCAGCTGGGAAAGAGGAGGGAAGGTCTGTCTGCATGGCAGAGCCTGTGCAGCGGCAGGAGAGCTCACGGAGGGCCTGCGGGCTTTGTCCCAAAGCTCTGCCTGCCTCCTCCCATTCTCGGTGCCCCTCTTCTTCTCAGGGGAGGCTGGGCAGACAGACTTGAGGTCACTGAGTTTTGGAAAGATTAAGCTCAGAGGAAGCTGTGCTCTCTTTTCCCTTCGTCTCTGAGGAGTTAGGAGACAGGCTGAAGAAGAACTCCTCTTTAGACCTCTGGGGTTAAAGGGCTTTTGCTTTAGGGAATAGACTAGATAGGAGATCCCTCTCTCACTGAGTCTAGGAGGGCTCAAGGAGGGGTTCTAGGGACCCCAAGAGCTGGGAGGGTTGGTGATTTTCCTGGTAACTTTTTTTTTTTGAGGGGAGGTGACTCTAAGGGGGCAGTTCTGGCTAATTAAAAGGGGATTAAGGAATCCTAGGTGATATTGGGAGAAGAGGGTGAGTCATAGTCCTCTGTTACCATGGCAGCTGATAAATAAACACACCCAAGGTGGGGGGGGTGTCCTGTCATGCCCAAGGAGTGCCATTGTGGGGCTGAGTAGTCCCAAGAATCCACAAGGCATCTCCCCTCTCCTTCCCGTAGCCATTTGAAGGAGAGGGAGAGGCTTGGAAGAGGAATTTTGATTCTGAACTTGAAGATGAAATGAGGGGAGGGACCCCTGAACCATGATGAGGATGCCAGAAGTCCTAGCTTCACATCTTGGCTTTGACCTCGTTTCTGCCTTGCCTTAAGTTTGACTGGGACTGGGAGTCCCAGGGCCTAGATTCCCTTGGCTTCTCCCTGATCCAGCTGCAAACAGCCCCATCCGCTGCCAAGTAGAACAAGACCCTGAAAAACTGTGTCAGTCCCAGCCCAGACGGGGTCGGCTTTTGACCTTCCTCCAGCATCTGGAGCTGCCTGCTAGCCTTCCCCTATCCCCGTGAGGGCCAGACCAGCATCATACATAAATTGCCCCAAGTGCATTGCCTGGTTTCCCGTACAACTTCCCCGCATCTCTCTTCCCCGAACTTTAAGGCTGCTCAGGCTGACCATTCTCAGACATTTCAGGCTGGCCGGAAGGTGGTGACATGGACAGGGTATCCCTGGCTACCCCTCGATGCAGATTTCTCTGGGCAGCTCGGCCACCAACCTGGGTTTTTGTGCTGCTTCTCACTCTTACCCCATCAGGCAAGGGAAATGTTGACCAGCCCCGAGGGGACTCTAGCTCAGGGAGCAAGCTGGGGAGCAGCAGGGAGGAAATGTTTCCAATCCTGGGCTGCTGTGACCTGTTTAGCCTCATCTGGTGGCCTGTCTCCCAAGTCTGCTCCCAGACATCCAGGCACATTGGACCTTTAGTAGGCCAGCCTGCCCTCAGGGCAGACTCAAGTTGTCAACCACCCTGCCATCACCTGCTTCCCTCCACAGCTGCTGGAGTATGTGGGAAAGGGCAAGAGCATCATTGATGTAGGGCTGGCCCAAGCCCGCCACCCGCTCAGCACTAGAAGTCACTACTTTGAGGTGGAGATTGTAGACCCTGGGGAAAAATGCTACATTGCCTTGGGGCTGGCAAGAAAGGTGAGGGGGAGACCTGCAGTGGAGAGGGAGGGTCAGGGTGGGTCTGGCTGCCCCTGTGGCTGTGGGAGGGAAGGATGTGGGGGGTGCAGAGCCAGAGCTGTAGACTGGATTTACCAGAGAAGATGGAAGAGCTTACATTTGTACACATGTGTACATGCATACATATCCCTGTGTGTGCCTACATGTACAGAGTCACAGAAACAAGGACATGGCACCCATAGATTACCAGCTCTACCGCTCTGGTCCTTTGGCATTTCCCCTAACACTCACTCTGGCCTGGGGAAAGTTTTGGCTGGGGGGTGATTGTCCATTGGCATTTTTTACAAGGTTCGGAAGAAGTGGGTGGGGAAAGCTTTGGGGAGGGCCTTTCCCCTTTCCCAGTACCCCAGACCTCTCTCTTCCTGCCTTGGCCAGGATTATCCCAAGAATAGGCATCCTGGCTGGAGTAGAGGTTCCGTGGCATATCATGCAGGTAATTGGAGGGTCCTGGGGCCTTGGGTTGGGGGTGAGGGCATTTTCTTCCCTCCCTTGGTCTACCTTGGAGGAAGCTGGGTGGTTGGGAATGAGGTAGGGACATGATATCAGAGGGAAAACCTTCTGTTTCTGTGTGTCGCCTCCCCACCCCGCCCCACCTTTGTGCTTTCTCTTTTTCCCTCCCCTCTGCTTTAAGTGTTCTGCCTTATTTCTTTTCCGACTCCTCTGAGCGCTTGGGTGTTTTTCCTCCCAGCCCTGGGAGCAAGACGGGGCGGGGGGACCTGGGGCCAAGCTCTGGGACATTCCAGGGCTCTGAGTTGGCTTTCTCCCCACCCCACCCCTGCAGATTCCTCCCTTTTTTCTTGTGTTTTGTTCCCTTTGAGCACTTTTTTAAAAAAAATTATTTTTTCTTTTTAAAGTTTTCTTTTTTGGTATTACAAACCTGACAAACATCAACTTTTCCTTATACTAGAGTACAGAAAATGAGGATTTTATGTGACCCCATGAATCCTGGACTTTTTCTTAAAGTACATGTTACATTTCCCGTGATAGTCCCAGCATTGCCTTGCTTGTCTGGGGGCACGGCTGCACCTCCCGCTCCCTGCTGTGTGAGGGGCTGCATTCTCCCTGCCTGTCCTCTCTTCACTGCTTGCTTTGGGGCATCTATCCCTCATGCCATTTCCCTGGGAGTCTTGATTTTCCAGTCACTCAGATGACCAGTCTGGTATAGATCTGAAGCTGGAAATTCTGTATTTCAGGTCCTTATTTGACCACTGACGAGCTGTGTGACTGTGAGCAAATGACTTTTAATTTCTCTGAACCCATGTCCTCATTGATAAAATGAGGACCATAAAGCTTGCATGCCTCACAGGATTTTTGTAAAGTTTAAATGAAATCATGTATATGTAATATCTTCATCAACTCTTCAAAGTAACAGCCAAGACTTTGGCCTGCCTCCCCGCAAATGAGTGTTTCTCTCCCTGCCCCCGCCCTCTCTACCCAGATGACGGGAAGATCTTCCATGGCAGTGGCGTAGGGGACCCTTTTGGGCCACGCTGTTATAAAGGAGACATCATGGGCTGTGGGATCATGTTTCCCCGAGATTACATTCTGGATAGTGAAGGTGAGTAGGCAAGGGGGAGCGGAGACTGCAGACTGGCCTGGGGGTAGGGGCACAGCTCACGCTCCTTGCTCTCTTAGGAGACAGTGATGACAGTTGTGACACGGTGATCCTGTCTCCCACTCCTCGAGCTGTCCGAAATGTAATGTACCTGCATCAGGAGGGGGAGGAAGAGGAAGAGGAGGAGGAGGAAGAAGAAGAGGAAGAAGATGGGGAAGAGATGGAGCAAGAGCATGAGGGCAGAAAGGTGGTGGTGAGTGTGGGGAGCTGAGATCTGGAGGGGGGCGACGGGAAGGACTTGGGGGGCGGCTGTGGCAGGAGAGGGTCAAAGGCATCTGCCCTTCCTTTGGGGGCTGGAGAGAGCAGCAGGCGCGTGGCCCCAGCGCGCCCTCTTGTGGCCACTCCGTGGTCCTGGCCCCTTGTGCTGGTTAGAACAACCCTGTGGGGTGGGAAGGCTCACTCAGCCTTGGCAGAGAAAGCTTCAGACACCACCTGCTTCGTGTTCCCACAGGTGTTCTTCACCCGAAATGGCAAGATCATTGGCAAGAAGGATGCTCTTGTGCCCCCTGGAGGCTTCTTTCCCACCATCGGCATGCTGAGTAGTGGGGAAAAGGTCAAAGTGGACCTGCACCCTCTGAGCGGCTAGGGCTTCTGCGGGCACTCCCTCTTCTTCCTCCTTCCCAGGACTATACACCCAGTTCGTGGCCTCTCTTTCCTGCCTTCTTCCTTCCCCTGGCCCCTGCCCTCCTCTTCCAGGGTTTGAGGAGGGCTTCATTCTCTCTCTTGCCCTGGCTTGGCTGAGCACCAGGCTGAGTGCCTGCTGGGCCAGGCAGTTCTCCAGTGTCTGCCTCTCTGGTCCTGGTATCACCTTCATCATCATTCCTTAGGGCCAAGGCCCCAACACAACAGGGATGTACCAACAGGGCCATGGTGCCCTTGGTTTTTTGCCAGTGACTCTAAGGCCCTCTCCCTTCCGAGGCCTCTGGCTCCTGGGTCAAAGAAGGATGAGTCTTGGTTGCTGACTGAATAGGGCCAGGTTTGTGCCTGAGTATAAGGCTACAATATCCTTCCCTCGACCCCAAGCCTGAGACCATGGCTGGACACTGCTCGGAGCATCTCAAAGTCTTTGAAATGCCAGCTTTGCCTGAGCCTGGGGCAGTTCTCAGAGGTGGGACTGGTGGGACCATTGGTCTTTCCCAAGGATCTCTCTGCTTCCTTCCATCTCTCTGTCTACTGAATGTCTGTGATATTGCTGCTTTGGTCTGTCCCTCCTCCCGCCCCTGCTGGCAGGGCTTGGGGTGAGGCTTTTTGCTTGTACTGACCATTGCCCCAAGCAGTCTAGGGACAGTCTCCATTCCTTCTTCTGAGGTCTGGAAGACACCCTCATACTGTACCATTGACCCATGGAGAAACTGCTGCATTTCTCCAGCCCCACCAAACAGCTTGGTGCCAAGTGTGTCGGGGAGATGCGGCTCCTTTAGCTCGTTCCGGAGAGTCCCTTACCCCCCTGATGCCACCCCTCCTTGGCTTTCCCAGCCCAGTCTGCCCCAGAACAGGTGGGGGAGTGCAGTGACCCCAGAGCCCTGTGACTGGACTTCCTGTGCTGGGGCTGCTCTGGGCCCTCCCTCCCTTCCCCTCTGTCACCCTCCCGCTTTCCCTCTTCGGGGAGTGGGATATCTGCTTGCTGCTTGTTCGAGTTGCCTGGTTTGTGTCAGTGTTTGGTTCCAGCTCTTACACTCTCTCCCCTACTCCCACTCTGGGCTCTCACGTTCCCCCTTCCCCTCTCCATGACAGGGGACAGGAGCTCCTTGCCCTGGTTGGCACAGAAAGAATGGGGCCTCTAGGAGAAGGGAGGGGCTGAGCTGCTGTGCTGCTGGGGGACCTAGACCTCTGGCCTCCCCCCCCCCCCCCCCTCCCCGCCCCATGATGTATGAAATGTATGTACAGACCAGAGATGTTTATACAGCCAATAAAGATGGAATTTCCATATTTATCAGTATGGCTGGGATGCCCACATCCTTGGCAGGAGAAGTTGGCGTTGCAGTGTAGGATGGGACAAGGACCTCACAGCTCTCGACGATTGAGGGTAGCACTGGGGACACGGGGAATACAGTTGTGCATGGGGAGATACATAGATGCAATCATGGGGAAACAGGAGGGCCATGCATGAGCCTACCGCCAGGCAGGGAGAGTGAGGGTGGAGCACACATGTAGAAGCAAGTGATCGTTCACCCTGCGGCCTCCTACAACTCCAGTACATCACCAACTCTGACTAAAGCTCATAGAAATTCTTTATTAGACAAAAATAGACTCTCTTTCTTTTTTTTCTTCATATAATCCCATCCTGCTCTCTCTATTTAGTGGGAGTAAGCAGGAGGAGGGGCGCAGTCCTCCCCCCTTCCCTTTCTCCGCTTGCTTCTGCTCTGGCCTGCAGCTGGGGGGAGCTGGCAGTGCCACAGCCCCTCCCAGGCCTGGGTCCTCTCGGGCAGGGCCGTCCAGGACCCCTCTGTAGCTTACCTTCTGACACCACCCCCTGCTGTGCCCGAGCTATCCCCTTCCCCTCTGCTCACCTACAGTTGCCATCTCCTATGCTCATCTGGTCTGTGTGGCAGGCTGGGGGTGGCGGTGGGGGTGGGGCGTGGGGAGTGTCACAGGAAGCCCCTTGCTTGTGCTAGGGGGCAAGGGCTGCTTTTTTCTTAATCCACGTAAGGGGAAAGGTCAGTGGGGGGGCTGGGAGAGGAGGAGCACGTTAATGTGGGTTTGGTCTTCTTCACCCCCTCTTCACTTTCTCTGACCCAGCAGAACTTTGGTGATGAAAGTGACAATGGCAACAGCTGGCTGGTCGGGATCAAGCTCCGAAAAGAGATGACATACGTTTTCCCAAGGGCTGCCCGGCTTCCTGGCCACAAAACCAAAGATCCTAGGGAATCAGTAGGCAGAGGGTGAGGGTGGAGAAAAAAGAGTCCTGGAAATACATTAGGCGTTAGGGTAAAGCTGTCTCTGGAGGGTTCCCAGCTGACGGGTGGATACCTGGCTGGGGAGGGGGCAATGTTGGGAATGCCTGGGCCCTGGGTGGGAGAAAGGGGTTCCCGGGGAGCGGACTTACTTAGCCGTGGTTCCATCTGTGTTGGTCCATCTGCAGTGGAAGAGTGACTGGTATAAGGGCCCCGATGTAATTCTGAGTGTGGGGAAGTTATTTAACTTCCTTCTAGGAGGGATTGGGAGTACCAGCATCAGCCATGGGGTCGAGGGACTTTACCTTCTGTCCTGTGGGTCTGTGCTACAGAAGGTGATGCTGTTCACTGGGTAATGTCGCCGGAAGAAAAGCCTAGAAAGGGGATTGGGGATGACATCAGACTCAAGAGGGGCCTTGAGGCCATAATGAATCAGGCTTTGGGGGTCAGAGTGAAATGAATCAGGAGTCTGGGCTCATGAAAACTTACTTCCGATGGTTATCCGTCAGGGTGATGCCTTGGGCTGAGACCTTGAAGTGGACGGTGACTGGAGTTGGGGTGGGGCTGCAGCTCAGAGCAGCTGAGCTGGCCCGGGCCACAGCCTGGGGGCCAGTCAGGGACTCTGTCTCCACAGAGGTCAGATACAATACACTGCAGGCTGGCGGTGGCATCGGGGTGAGTGAGGGGAGACAGCTGAGATCAGCAGACTGCTAGAGGCCCTGTGCCTTCAGGCACCACCTTCAGTAGCCCCAGGGACAAGAAGCCTCCAGGATGGAGTCAGGGTATCCGTGGGACTTGTTTTCTCTACTCCCCCCTATCCCCTCGTCCAGTTCCCTGCAAAGTCTGGGGAAAGGGGAAGTTCTGTACCTGCTCCCTGCCGCAGGAGGTCTGATGCTGTGCTCATGTTGGTGTGCACTGAAACCTCAGGGGTCTTGTCCAGGGGATCTGGGATTGGGGGAGGGGCGGGAGTAAAGAGTGTGGTCAGAGGAGAGGAGGGAGGCTCTCCCCAGAATCATGGCCTCTTAGGAGTCAAGATATTTCCAGCCAGGTTGGTTTAGGCTTGCTAGTGGCCTGAAGGTTCATTGGGAGCTAGGTGAGGGGAGTCCATGATACCCACCTTTACTGGGGATTTGGAGGCAGCAAGGAAGGGAGATGGGGGCAATAGAATGTTGGGAGACCAGAGCTGACAGGCTGCCTATAGGTTGGAGAAGGTGATTAGGATCCTGGTTTCTCCTCCTCCCCTCCTCACCTGCCACATTCCCCCAACATTTTCCACTGTACCATCCCTAAACCAATTCCTGCCACCACCACCCCCCACTTTCCCAGTGATCTCAAAACCATCTCCTCAGGAGCAGCTAGGTGGTGCAGTGGATAGAGCACTGGCCCTGGAGTAAGGAGGACCTGAGTTCAAATCCAGCCTCAGACACATAACCCTTACTAGCTGTGTGACTTACTTAACCCCAAATGCCTCACCAAAAGGGGGGAAAAAAGGAAAAAACCCATCTCCCCAGGCTTCTCACCAAAGTGCGGTTCACTGGGGCATCCCTTGATTTTCACCCCTTTGGGTCCTGTCTCGATGAGGAAATGACGGACCAGCTGTTCCAAGGGATCACCTAAGAAAGTGAGGGCAGGAAATGATGCTGGTTTGGGGATTGGCCTTCTACTCAAGAGTTCCCTGCTCCTTGTCCTTTTGGTTTCCCTTAGAGAAAAAGGTAGTTTTCTCCTCTCCTTGGCCCTTTTCAGCTCTCTTGCCCCTGGTGTAACCACCATATGGCATGCTTTTTCTGTGTTCCCCAAATCCCCAGTTCACCTTTCCAGGCCTGGGCGCTGGGTGGAGGTGTAGCCACTTTGAGTGCCAGCCCATATGCCCCTTGGAAGGAATGACTGTCTCGTATCAGAAATGCACCAGGCTCCTTGTCCTTCAGCAGGGAGATGGCTGGGAGGTAGGAAGAATAAGGAACAATTGAGTCTCCTGCCTACCTTCCCCTCCCCCCAAAAAATCCTTTTTGTTGAGTGAGCTCCCCAATCTTCCCCCTGATCTAAGGACAATTAGAAAGAGTGGCAAGCGATAGAGAGAGAAAGGCAAGGGGGATGGTGTGGAGATAGGGTTTGGAGGGACATTGAGGTAAAGACTCTGGGTACAAGGATCTTGAGAAAATCTGTCTTCTTACCTTGGTCTCTTGACAGGTGTGGTTTATACCAGAACTTGGATGTGTCCTGTACAAACTTGACATTGCTCTGGCTCTCTTGGGGAGGGGGCTCTAAGAACACAGTGGGACAGTGGCTCTGGAACCCACCTCCCACTTGAAATCTACTCCCTATCTCTAGCCACCTCTACAACCTTCCCAAGAGAAAGGGTTTGTTAAAGTCTCTCAAAATTATCTTCCGAGGTCCAATTAACCAACAAATATTAAGTGCCTACTATGTTCCAAGCACTGTACTAGGCAAAACAATCCCTTCTCTTGAGCTTATGTTCCAGGTCCCTCCCATCCCTATCCCAGGTCCTAGGTGGATACCTGGAGAACTGGGGGCATCATCTGGAAGCAGGGGAGCAAAGGTGACATGATGGGTGGTCCCTCTGCCTGGTGGAGATGCACGCTCCCCACCCCACTCTCGGCCCGCCTGCTGCCCAGCTGCTGGTGGGTGCCGTTTCTCAGGCAATGGGGGCTGGGCAGTGCCATTGGAATCATAGGAAGCGGCCAGAGGAAAGGCAGGTGTGGGTGAACTTTGCAGGGGCTCAGGGGCAGGCACAAGCCAAGGCATCTGGGCAGGCACAGGTGTGAGGGGTGATCCATCTGGACTGTCTGAGGGACCACGAGGACCCTGCCAGGTAGCATGACGGAGGCCAGGCAGCGTGGTAGGCACTGGGGTCCGGGGATTGGCACTGCCAGAGTACACGCCCAGGCTCCTCTCCTGAGGCCAGTCCCTGGGGGAGCCGGAAGGAGAGGCTGAATGGAAAGGGCTGGAGGGCGGGGGATCAGTCCCACTCGTTGAAGGCAGATCTGGAGTCTTTTCAGTGTTCCCCTGGGGGGCAGAGAGAGCTACTTCTGGATTCAGTCTCAAGGCAGGTACCAGACTAGGGGATCGACTTTCTCGATTCTGAGGGCTGTGAAGAAATGGCAGGAGGGGCAAAATCAACATGGTCAACCTAAGTTTCTCATCACTTTTTCTTAGAACCTATATGAGGGGTGGAGCTCAGAAAATGCTAACCTTTTGGCCGGGCCCCTTCCAGTGCTACTCAATGTCAGCATCCCCCCATGGCCTCTGTACCTTTCCTTGCCCTGAACTGGGCTGCTGGTATGAAGGGGGGTGGGGGAGCCAGATAGATCCGATGGGGCACTTTCTACACCCTGCGCATTTTGGGTTGGCCGGGGAACGGTAATGTGCCCGTTGGGGCCCTCCTGCCATAAGCCTGGTTCCAGTGAATCTGTAGAAAGGACGGTACAAGTGAAAGAAAGTAAAGATTGGGACCAAAAAAACTTCACCTCCCACTGGGGGTGGGATCCATGTTTAGCTTCCCAGGCTTCTTATCGACCCTTCTCCATCCCATTCACCACAGGCCCCCATGCTCTTCCCAAGCCTCTCCCAGGACCCTCCTCTTTGCCCTAGCACCTTCCCCCACTTCCAATCACAATGCTACTCACCTGTAGGTGCCAAGCTGCCTGTCTGAGCCAGGTGCCCCGGCAATGGGTACCCATCCCCTCCCTCCTCAGGAGGTATCTCGTAACTCAGCTTGCTGGATGGTGGGTAGGAGGGGTTTCCTGGCAAGACGGAGCCAGGACAGGGAGAGTGGACTCCAGGGCTGGGATACCCTCTGCTCTCACTGGGTGACACATAACCCCGGGCTGACCGCCCATACGTGGGGCAGTACCCGGGCATTGCTCCCCCACTGCTGTATGCCACCAGGGTAGGGTACCCTGGATGCCCGTACCTTCCTTCAGGGCAGAGAGCATAGGGGTACCCCTCGTGACCATCCTCTCCGGCCTTAGGCTGCTTCAGACAATTGTAGTCAGGCACTGCAGCATGGTGGTGTCCATAAGTAGGCATTAGCAGTGGTACTGGGTGCCTGGTCCGTAGAGGGTGCAGTAAGGGCTTCCCTGGCTCTCCTGTCCACCCCTCACCTGCCTCCCTCTCCAGTCGTAGGCCATACAGGGCAGCTGTGGGCAGTGCCAGTTTCTCTTCACAGGCTGGGCATGGGCACAAAGTGGGCAGCCCCCCATCCTCTAAGATCACTACATCTCGGTAGCCAGGAAGACGGTAGCCAAATTCCCCATTGGTCTGTTTGCCCAGCTTTGGTGGGTAAGGATATGGTCCCTCAGATAGGGATCGGCAGAGCTGTCTTTTCTCCAGGGGGACCTCCCCATAGCCCTGAGGGAGGGCCTCATAACCCCCATAGGCCAGCCGCCTTCTTTCCAAGGTCCCCTCTGGCCTGTAGTAGCCACCTCCATTGGGAGCCCCACAGGGCTCTCTATAGCCATGGCGGCAGGAACAGTGTCGGCTCAGGCCGGGCCTCTGGCCCTGGTAGACTCCAAGCGGGGCACCACTCCCAGGGAGCAGCTGGTCCTCTTCATCCAAAATGGCGGTCTCCCGGCCCACTCCCCGGCCCACCCCACCTATTCCACAGCCTCCCAGAAGTCGCTCCAGCTCCTGACGCTCTGCAGGAGTAGGGGGAGGTCGAGTGGGGGAGTCAGCTGGGGGCTCTGTAGTCAAGGTGGAAGAATGACCTGAGTCACTGCTGACGGACAGGATCGGAGGTGGGGGGTGTTCTGGGGAGGGCCTTGGTGGGGAGGGCCGGGTGGCCCGCCGTACCTGGGCATAAGGGCTGCCATCCAGAGGTCCCCGGGTGTGGGGTGGGGAACCTGCAGGGGCAGAAAGAACTGGGCAGAGCTGGAGCAAAAGAGGGGGTACTCACAAAATGTAGAATGAGATATACTTTGGGGACATAGCCAAAGTGGGAATTAGCTTTTTGTTACACAGGTTTTGTTTGTTTTTCCAATGAGGGGTGGTGTTGTGAGGGGTAAGAGGGGATAGGGAAGGAAGGAAGGAAGGAGGGAAGGAAGGAAGATAGAAAGAAAGAGGAAGAGAGGGAGGGAGGGAGGAAGGAAGGGAGGAAGGAAGGAAGGAAGATAGAAAGAAAGGAAACAAGGGAGGGAGAAAGGAAGGGAGAACAGAGGGAGGAAGGAAGAAAAGAAAAGAAGGAAAGAAAGAAAGAGGAAGGAAGGAAGATAGAAAGAAAGAGGAAGGGAGGGAGGAAGGAAGGAAGGGAGAAGGGAGGGAGGAAGGAAAGAAAAGAAGGAATGAAGGAAGAAAGAAAGAGAAAGGGAGGAAGGGAGGGAGGGAGGAAGGAAAGAAGAAAGGAAGGAAGGAACAAAGGAAGGAAAGGTTATAAAGGCATCTCTTTAAGAAATGAGAAGAAAATGAAAGGAGGCCAGAAAGAAGCACAGACAAGTAGGACAGCTTTGAAAACTACAGGTTGAATTTATTATATGCTTTAAAAAGAAAAGCTGTACATTATAGAGATCTCCAGGTTTGTGTATAATTCTCTCTTTCCTTTTTACTATGTATACAGAAATATATAATTTTATTTGGCATTTTTAAAGTTCAGAATTTTTTCTTAAAAGCACAAAAATAAAGAGGAGCTGTCAGTATGGGAAGGAAGAGCTAGGAGATATCAAAAAGATCAAGAGAAAAGAATGACAGCTTAGGAAAGGTGGTCAGGAGGGCCAGAGAGTTAGTGGAATGATCCTCAAACCCTCCCCACTCTCCTCCTGCCCCTCACACCATCCCCACTCTCCTCCTGC